GGTAATGAATTTGTGAAATTAAAAATTCGGTTCCGAGTCAAGCATTAACCATAGTTTCACTATATAAAAACCGTTTGTCTGCCCACCCACACCTCTTGTTCAATTGTTTATGCAATAAATAGGTCACGAGGGTTCGAAGAACAAATAAACGATTATTAATTTCGTGCATGACCGTAAACATTTGCCTTATTTCTCGATACATACCACCTTATCCGAAGGGAAATGCGCGACCACGCATCAAACAAGAGAAAGAACTTGAAAACACAAATTTCGCGTTCTTCCATAATGAAGAATTAAAAATTGTTTTGATCTCCAACACAGAGATCACCTCAGTTGTGCAGGATATACTGTAAATTAGGTAACGACAACCGTGACGTTTGGTCAAATAAATTAAATCGAGATCAGGCAGTCGGCAGGTGTATCAAGTCGGTAAACTCTTGGTTGTCGTTCAGCAACTCCCAGGTTCAGTGACCTCCACCATAAAGTTCGGGCCGATTATAATCAATAAGTTCATTCGATATTGATTACCCGTTAAAAATTTTGTCGCATGAATAAAAAGACAACTCTAATTCAACTCAATCAATCTGAAACAAAAGAATGAATTACCTCGATTATTATTTATATAACGCTTCAAATGAATTTGTTTCCGTGGTATTAAAATATTAATTTTTCGATTCGCATAAATGAATGATGGGGTCAAAAGAAATCGGATTTCACGTTAGACCAAACATACTGTAAAACTTACTTACTGTATTTAACCGAAATGCAAGAATGCATGATTTTAATGAGAAGTCAATCCGAAAAATTATTGTCATATGATAAATAATTAATTATTTGCGGGTTGAGTGGTGGAAGGTGAAGGTATCACTTTAAAGCTACATTGGTAGAAGGCATGAACGATTAATTTCATTGATAATGTGAAACCCTTTCTTCACCGACCACATGTCGCATAGTACTGTATTATGTATGATACAAATTTTATAATGAAAAAATTGATTGTGTGGTATCAAAATCACATGATACTTGACGTTTCTTAATGTTTTGTTAAATTTTTATGATTCAATTTCGTTCAAGGTTAGCGGAAGGTAAGCTTTTGACGAATTGGTCGGTTCTCCTTGTGAGCCCCGACGCAATTTCAAAATGCGAGTTCCGTTCGAGTGAGACGGTTTAACCAGAGATGGTTGGTAGGATGCGAAATTACCCCGCGCGCTGCACGTTATAACTAAAAATTTTTAATTTCTTGCCCACACCTTTGTCGAATGTGGGTCGGCAAATTTTTCAAAGGAAAAACTAATTCGAAAAATGACATTAATTAAAAATATGATTCTTTGTTCGAATTCGGTGTATTACAAACATTACGAATAAATGGGCGTTATACAGTTGGCGAATCAAAAAGTTTGTAACATGCCGTCATTCGGCGTCAATATTGACTGGTGCTCAAAATTAATGATTGGACGAATTTATCACTTACCAAGGACGAAAATTTAAAGTTTATTTACTGTGCACCCAGAAAACAAATAACACATTACCTTGGTTCATGTGTGCCCCAAAACTGATTACTTGATTGACGAGAGGAAAATCTTTTGGACGTTGACAGCGGGATGAATCCACCACCTCAACTCGAGAGCACTCCCTGAAAGAGAATGCCATATCAGTGACCTGTGCGACGTTGCGAGTTGGTCGTTGGCCCAAATATTCATGCGAATTGGCTAACTCATGTTTCGTTTAACAAATAAGAGGCATATGGGAAAGGTCAAGCACGAAGGTAAGTACCTCGGTTAATGGCACACATTTTATTTACAAACAAAACTGCTCCCGGAAATAAGATGGAGTTCGTCACCAGAAAAACTTTGGCGTGCAGAACTATTAAAACACAATATGCGACGACGCCATGTAATAAAGTTTAGTGTCGGTCATACGAAAGAGATTGTTTTATCCGGATGCCGTCCTTGTCCTAAAAATTCCGTCAACATTTCGTGACCATCAGCACCATATCAACTTCGTCGAATCGAGCATGAATTCTCTCATGATCCGACGAGGTAGAACGAGAGATGAGAAAGGAGGGACCATGACCGTTTGCGTTCAAGGTGAACCACCGGGTGGGAGCCAAGAGATGGCTTCGAAAACTCTCGGACATTGACAGATACCTTGGTGGTCACACGGAGCAACTTGACAGGTGCAATTAATCAATTAATTAATTAATTTAACCCTAATCATCGAGTCCTGCCTTTGGTAGCATATTTTTTATTTAATTGTTCTTATTTTAGGAAATAGGGAATTGCGCCACTGATGGTCACACGCGGAACGGAAATTAAATCTGTCACAGTCCAGAGGATGGTTTTGAGAGTAAGGGGAAGGGAGAGGAGGGGAGGGGAGAGGAGGGGGAAGGAGAGCATCTCTCTAGCGCCCAACAACCCAAGAGTTTATTTATATAATTTGCGGAATGACGTGTACGTGTTTTTTGGTAGTTGGTTGCATCAATGAAGACTGTTATCCTTTAAAATGCGGGCGTTGTGGTGGTGTCATCAAATAGTTTTCGCACACATCAAGATCGAACATTAAACATAACCAGCTCTTTCGACAACCACGATTGGCTAAAAAAAAAAAAAAAAAAGAGTTTATAACAGTTCTTACGTAAGACACCCGGTAATTTTGAAATAAGCAAGTGGGAATGTTTGTGTGCGTTTTATACCAATGCGAAAGAACACAGTGACCTTTGCCTCGAACAAGAATATAACAATGCAAGACAATTTTTATTATTTTCTGACAAGTCTAAACCGGTTTCATCTGTGTTTGATTTTTTCTATTTATTCTATTTACGAATATCGCACGTTACCTTTCACGGACAGTCGGATTTCTTTATGCAGGAAAACGTGGTGTCGACACGAAGATTCAGTTAAGAGGTCATTGGACGTTGAGACGCGAATGGGTCACACACGGTTCCTCGGTTGCCATCGATCGTGAACATGGTTTGGCTAAGAATCAGGTTCTTGTGCTTAATGTGCGCATTCACGATACCAAGAAAAAAAAAAACAATAATAATTTTCCTCGTTCTGATATCTGGGTTATTATTATTATTATTATTAATTTCCGTAAATCATTTTCATTAATATCCAGATATCTGACCTGTACGTATAATATAAAACACATACTTGCGCGCATATATACATCTATACATGTATACGGTATATGTATCACTGTTAAAATAAACAATAATAAAGTTTTCATATGGTACAAAGGTATCTAATTTATTAGGTTTTTGCTTAAGATTTCGAGGGGTGGGCTTGGGCCCAAGAAAGAAAAAGAAAAAAAAAAAAAAGAAAAAAGAAAAAAAGAAGCGATCAAAAATATATGTGTATACATTATTTATAACCTTGATAAACGTTGAGCCGAAATAGCTTAATACCAAAAAAAAAGAAAGAAAGAAAAGAAAAGAAGAAATTTTTTAGATATATTCGAAATTTTCATAGAGCAATCTGTCGTTATGCTAGTGCTAGCATATGCTGCATGGTAGATAACGATTCAATAAATTCTACAAGCCTACCCCATAACTACTAAATCCTAGATATTTTTACGCCGACTAGATGTGACATATATCATATATCAATGCAACTATAATATACTGTATAAATAAATAAATGAATAGGTAGATTAGATAAATAAATGAAATATATATGTATTAAATAATAAAATAAAAAAAAAAAAAATTTTTTTTAAATTGTCTTTACCGAGTATGTTATTCACCCTTCCACTTCTTTACAATAAAATATACGTATACGAAAAAAAAAAAAAAAGATGTATAAATACACTCTGATTTCGCCCTGTTGAACAGAACGACAGAAGACCCACTTCAGAAAAAATTTATCGCAAATTAAATATCATCTATTCTTTTTTTTTTTTATGGGTCGAAATACATTGCTTTTATAATATCTTCAGGAGATTTCATTTGGTCTCAAGGCGAGGTTGCCATCTTCATCAAGAATATGGAGAATTTCTGTAGTATCTGTCTAAAGCAAGTTCATGATTCACGCGCGCTCTATTGTTCTTCGGAATGCGCAAACATTGATATGGGATCTAGCTCGATGCAAGTGAACAGCACGCCCCCTCCTTCCCCTCCGATTCACCTCCGTTTTTCAATTTCAATTACCCCTAACGTCTATCATGCTTCCGATGCAAACTCCATCCTTTCCCCACCCTCTTCGGTTTCCTCCTCTTATGCAGATTCCGATATCTCCTCTTCATTCACTAGCACATACACCTTGGACAATGATTACGAGAACTGTGATACTTGCAAGGAGGATGCCCTTGACGACGAATATTACCCCTCAATCTATTCAACAAGCAACCCAATCGATATTCCCAACCAGAAAACACAAACCATCAATGATTCCGCACTAGCTCCCCTCAACAAAGGGACTTTTGGTGAGGATTAAATCCTTGAGGGAGACAACCCGCCGGAGAAAAAGAAGACAATGATTTACTTATGCATAATAATAATACACCACCACTTTTCTATGAACAACTTTTCCGCATTTTCAACTCAAGATCAAAAATTGGAAGAAATGTTGCACCGTCACATTCACCTTTTTTTTCTTCTTCTTATTATTCTTCTTGTTATTATTATTTTTTTTTTTTTTTACGAGCGAAACGAAAACGAAACGAAAACGAAACGGAAACGAAAAACGAAAAACCATAATTTCAAATTATTTTATGAATAAATCTAAGGAAAATTCAATATGCGCGGAAAAGAATTCTATCGAAATTAAATACCCTTTTCATATTAACAAAAAATTAAAAAAAAAAAAACTTTTTCTCCCCCGTGGTATAACACATTTTCCTCCTTCCCTTCTCTCACCATTTTATTTATCTGAACAAATGAACACGTTCCTTTGTATTAGTATCGTTCCTCATCATTTCTTTATTATTTGTTTATTATTTGTTTCGATCGATTAAATTTTTTTGAAAAGTAATTTCGTTGATAATTACTCATTCATACAATTTTATAAATATATAGATCAGATGTAAAAAAAAATTTTTTTTTTAGGGCATTCCTTTGGACCACCTTCATCAGAACTCTTGTCCTTGTTGGGGAGAATGAGAGGAAGAGCTGGGAGTTTGGGGGATGTCCCGGATTAGTTTATTAATCTGTAATGCAAATATAGCTTTCTTACTTATCTATTTTATTATTAGTAATAATAATTTGGCGATAAGTAATCAAAGAAAAAAAAAAAAACAAAAAAAAAAAGAGAGAAATTTTTTAAATAAAATAAATCGTAGCGCAACTTCTTTAAAAGAAAAAAACTGTGCATCCATTTGATTGATTTGATTGATTATTTAGTTTTATTTTATTTTGATCAATTCTAGAGACAACTCCGGAAAACGATGTCTTCTTTCATCTTCCTTTTTCGATTGCAGGTTTATACATCTTCTTCCCTGAGAAGATATCGACATAATCTCTCTCGGACTTTCCTCCCCCATCGTCCTTGCTGACACTCTCATGATGCTTCTTCAGAGATGCCAAGATCTTCTTCTTTTTCTTCTGCCTCCTGTCGATTTTTGTGGGCGAAGAGGTTTTCGGTCCCAGATTTGCTTCCCTTCCTTGTGCGTGCGCATCAGTTTCAACAAAAGACTGCCCCTTCTCTTTTGCCTTTTTTTAATGAGGAAAAAGCTTTTCAGACAAGGTCACTTTCCCAAAGGCTCGCTATTACATACTAACAACAACTTACGAGACGTTTGTGAGTTTTTGCAGACCTTCCCATTGCCAAAAAAATTTCTTCCAACTTGGCAATATAGTGTTCGTGTGTGACGACGCATCATGCAGAATACTATGCAATGTAACAGATATCGCATCGTCTAACCAATATGGTATGCATATATGTACACTAAATCATTGCATGACAAACGCATGTACTGTATGTACTGTACCTTACCTTTTCATATATAAATCGCATGTACTGTATATACCTTACTTTTTCATATACTGTATACAGTAAATATGGTAAGCGACTTCTTTCAGACTCGACGGGACCTTTTTTTTTTTTTTTTTGTAAATGCGTACATTCCGGAGGTTTCGTCACGATTGATCCGCTATTAAAAGTGAACAAATTTATCGGATCAAGAAACACCTCCATCAATTCTTGCTTTGGCTCATCGACGATTGTATTTGACTCGCGTCGAATTGTTCGTGTCAATCGCGTACGCCAGCCGCACCCCACGCGCAACCAGGTAAATGAGCCCATTTCACGAAGAAATCTTGTCTCTTTGGTAGATAGTTTAAATTGAACGATCACGCGTCGATTTTGACGTTTAGCTGAAGACGTAGGAATTCGGGGTCTAAAAAAATTAAGATCATCCTCTGAACATGACCTTGGCCAACTTGTCAGTTCTTACGCGGACCTTTCCCATTGTTGAAGGTTCCACGAGAGGAGTAGGAGTCGATGTTTCGATCATCATTCAATCCAATGATTCTCGCGCATTTTAACTCAACTCTTTTTCCATACAACAAATTGAACAAACAGCAGGTCACCATCCTTAAAAATAGTAGTGGTACACCGTCACCCTCTTCATTCGATTTTCAATTGAGGCGCCGAGATTCCGTATTTGAAATATTGCGCTTTACGGAAACCCGCGTCAAATTCAGATCTCCGCGTGCAACGGTCGCCGTACTAACCTTTTATTTGATCATTATGTAAGACCGAGTATTTGCCTATTCATCGGGAAGTGGGATTCTTTTCGTGTGCACCCTCACCTCGAGCAAAGGAGCATCGATTCACCTTTTTTTCTTTTTTTTTATTTTACGCATATGTGTGCGCACGGACTTCTTCTCACTGCACATGATGCGGTGGTCTCAATTGCAAATCGGATCGATCTTCCGCACACTCGGCGTCGCGCAATGATAATTACGCACGTTTTCGTTGAAAATCATGCACTTTCCAAGGATCATTCCGAAACTCCGGGGATGTACTCTCAGCGCAGAGCCGAAAAATCGAGCATCTCGAAATTAATTGTCACGTTGCCTTGACCGTTGCACGGATGAATAGAAGCGCGTCAACCATTTTACACAGGAAAATAAAAAAAGAAAGAAAGAAAAAGAATAAATAAACAGTCGGATCCGTGTCTTTGGTAAGAATCGGGCGCCCTGATTCGCCCGTCGGGTTGTATGGGGTGTGTGTGTGAGTGTGTGTGTGTGTTCGGTGTGAGGGAAAACACTCCAAGAATAACAATGACCTCCGATCGCAATTTGACGATCACTCAATAAAAAGTAAGGTGATTCCATACGCGGGCGCCTTCTTTATGATCATCGCACATCACATACTGCACATTTCGAATATGCATCAAATCGTGCGATGATAATGTGAAATGAAGGTGGTGACACACTGTTCAGGTTTCGAGTCTCGACTAGTTGATATTTTGTGCACTACCTTGTGACACCATCGGATTGCAGTTCGATTTTCTATCACGGCGCCGACTGATAAGTTTGTATGTTATTTCCTGTCATAATTATGCAGCATGCAACAACATCTTTATCACCAATTGTGGTTAAAAGGTGCGGAAATTATCGTATTCCACGTCAATAGTCCTGATAAACGTTTGGTCGTATTTTAACCCTCTATCGCGGTAAAACATTGATGCTGTTCGCATTCGCACTGTATGAACGTCTCCTTCGAGTTCTCCGAAACGTGGAAATTTGGTGAGATCCGATCACACATCGTGGATTGATAATGGTTATCGCAAAATTCACTTGGCAGATTTTAATACATCCATCGAGCGATTACGACACAGCCGCCAAGATAAAATTGCCATTTATGTGACGTACAAAACTTGTGTTCACACTGCATATGTCAACACGATTATGAAAAAGAAAAAAACACGGCAAGCGTCTACATTAGAAGGTTTTATTTGTTAGATCATCTACCTGTCAATGTTTATCCCTTACGTTATCTTCTATTCCGAGATGCTGTCTATCTGTATCTGTGCGTGTGTGTGCGCATGTAGATAAGAGCTGGCATCATTGCTGTGGGTGTATGGTACAATGGATGAATAATGAATTCTCCAAATCGCAGAACTCTTAATCTCATCATGATCTGTTATCAGTGATAATGATTTTACTTGTTACCTGTGTGCAACAGGTGATAACGTAGTTTATTGATCACTAATTAATACCAAATGTTTCAAATAATTGTTATCTTGTGCAGTGCGCTGTTGAGATCAATCTTCTAACACCGTGTGTGGCTGTGTCAAACCTAATTCTGTTTGTTCCAGAGTTTCACTTTGAAATGCTGTCAAAGATACAGGTTCCATTCCCACAACGAGAAATGTGTCATTATTTAATATTCCTGGTGTAACGTAAATTACGCGTGCTCACCCAGATACCTCTTATCATCATCTTTCCGCCTTTCGCTTTGCACCACGGCAGACTTTTGGCGGCTCTTTCGTTTTTGTTTTTTTTTTTTTTTTTTTAACTTAATCATTTCTCGTGTCAACCTGTGCGAACGATGGGTTGTGAAGGGAAGTACAATGGCAAAAAAAAAAAAAAAAAAAAAAAGAAGAAGAAGAAGACGACCCTCTTCCCAAGGAATTCGAGTCTCGAAAGATGCCGCGGAAAAACTAGAAGAGACGTTTGAAATTGACCTTATCCCGTGTTCCTTCCTTCAAGTGGTCGCACAGCGCCGAAATCGAAGAAGTTGCGCAGTAAGAAAAAAAACCTCAGAGGTATTCTCACATCACACCCGTGTGCGTCACGCACGAATGGCTGGGCATTGATTCGTCGGGAGAATCCACCAGCCATTGATGCAATGTCACCGCCATCGCCAAAAGTGTCAAATTTGATAATAAGAAAAAGATATCATCTTTTGATGTACAAACTAGGAAAGTCGCTGTTTGACACGTTTCCATTGATGCAAAATATTTTCGACGTACGTGAATGATTGAAACATTTGTCCTTATAAAAAAAATTTTTTTTTTTTTTCTTTTTTCACCTAGAAAATAAACGAGTTACGAAAGAGTCATTGTTTTACCCTTGCCAACGGACCTAGTGCATAAAAAATCTCGTGACACCACAACAGCATATCGGTTTTCGTTAATACGCCTACGATCGTGAGACCATTAATCGCGGGTGAAGATTTCCGGTTCACAACTTGAACGAAAACCCATCTTGATTTCAAAGGGGGGGCGTACAATTTTTACATGTAAGGTCTCTTGCCGTTCACGCCAAGAACTATCGTACCACAATAAATCTGGTGATCATGACTCCAAAGAGTGACGTTTGCCATTCTTTTCTTTTCTTTTTTTTTTTAAAAAAAGTTCGTACCCGGGTTTCCCTCAGCAAGACGGGTAGAATGTAAGAACCGAGTGAGCATTTAAAACAAAGTGCGAGGCAAACGTACCGTTTTGGAAACCTATCTTCTTACGCTTCCTCAGAAAAACGGAAAGAAGCAATTCTAAAAAAGATTTTGAAAAGTTGACAATGGTCGTGACACTGATGGTGGCATCGAGGGGCACCTACATTAATGTTTAACGGTTGAGACTCCTTCTTTTTCCACAAAAAGACCGAGCCAGTATTATGTATGTCCCCATGACGTATGCAAATGTAGGAAAACTTGTTGGACTTTTTCCGACACCAGTTTTCCATGGTCAGACATGCTTAATTTGGAAGTTGTGGTCGTATACATGTGTGTATATACACAAATAAAAATATATCCTAAAAGAAGATGACCTCCGGGAGTACCACAGTATAAAAAACCGTTAAAGTTTACGTGATTATTGAAATTTTTCTACGTTGCGACTTTTTTCCTTTTTTCTTTTTACTTGCGTGCATATTCGGAGAAATAGAGAAGCAAGAGTGCATGGTGTCACTGTCATGTCGTTTGAAGGTTAACATAGGAGACACATCAAACACATACAAACACAAAAGGGACGCTTCACTTATGCACGGGGGTGTTTGTTTTACTACCAAACGGTGTGTGCGTCTAGGAAGTGTTTCTGGTCATAAATTGCTCTTTCCGTCCACCAAATAATGCCAACAATCGTGAATTGTCGATACACCTGAAAAAAAAAAAAAACGTCGGTGTAGTAGCACGCGTGTGGCGTGCATTTGGTAACGCGCAAGTCATATACTGTGTGATTCGCCGGGGGGCATGCATGGCGTTTTTTAAAATTTTCGTTAAATAGAATTTTGCAGGCACGTCGTGAAACGACAGAGATTACGTGCGTAATTATCGGTTTGAATCGGGTACCCTCTTTTTAATTGAATGATTTATACGATGATACGATGGTGCACTGCATTCCGTAAACGACCTCACCGTATTCCAGATCACGAGACGTCCCCCGGTGGTCCTACAAGAAATCCGACAAGGTAGTGCTGGTGTTTCGACGAGACGAGTGTGTGTGCTATATTTCGAATCCGAATTGTAATCGCGACAAAAATTTCAATCAGGAATGATCGGCCAATTAATTCCATTTCGATGGGATGCAGTTTGGACCCCGGTGTGGCCACCGAGATTTCACCTCCCGCCTCGTTTCGGGATGGTAATCCGAGACCCGGAATGGGTCCCAATTTTTCTTATTATTGTTGTTAATCATGAAGATTGGGTAATTTTAAGGGTGACCCGTGTTTTTTTGATGTGTGTGTGGTCTGTTGATCCATGCGCGTACGAACGCGTCGGAAAAAAAAAATAGAGTGCATGCATGTCAAGCAAGCAAGCAAGAAATTGAGTGCGACAAACTATTCACCTTTTTGAACAACAATAAGCACGAAATCAATGGAAAGCACCGTGGGATCGAAAATTAATTAAAACGTCGAGGTCGTGGAATTCTTGGATTCGATGGATCGTCGAACCTTATCGGTGATAGGGTAAGTTGGTGGCAGGTCAGAGAAGGAAAAGTGAGATTGCTCATTGTTTCAATGAATTTATCCTGTCGGTTTCCGGGAACATGCGGGATAGTTTGAAAACAATCAACCTATGTGCGCATAACCGTCTGAAGCACACAAAGCATAAATATAAATATAATTAATTCATGATGAAATACTGAAAATGATTAATGAAGTAAAACTCTGGAAATTTATCATGATCGTCCAAACAAACAACCTTTTGATCCCATCGACAAACTTTTCCGCAGAACGGTTCCACCCTCAATTTGTAAACACGCTGACTCGGAACATTTAATTCCCCGTGCCGCGTCGTTGCCCTGCCATGTCATGCTGCTGCTGCCGTTATTGTGATTTTGAATTTATATTTAAGCTTGCCCAATCATTTTCTCGTATTTGGTTCTTAAGTGGGTTAAATAAATAAAATGTAACGGACAACACGCAGCACACATGAACACGATCTTGCCGGTTAAGCATATCTTACTCTTATTGGGGAAAGGAATGTGAGTAAGTATTGTTAGGATTCACCATCCATAATCACGTGGACATTAGGCGACATCGGCAAAAGTTCGATTGACACGGGAGATTTGTAGTTCCCTACCTTTTGAACTGAATATGTAACACACCTTTCCATGAAGAGAAATGAAAACTGAGATTAACCGTAACTCGACCGATTCATTATGCGTGCGCGATGTGAAGTCCAAAGAGGAATTGGTTTTCGTTTTGTGGAGGTGTCAAACGTTGAGGTTAAGAGAGAAAAGGTGAAATAAAGAAACGATGTGAATGTTGTGTCATACGCACGGCAATTTATTATGACCAATGAATATTTTGGGTATAATTTATAATTGGTCGGATCGGGCAGAGAGCTTGCGCATAATTGATCTCATTCGTTGGCGTGAGAGAGATTAAATGCATGTTTTGATTACAGTCTCGGTCCATGTGAATTGATGATCATGAAAGAAAGGATGTGACATCAGAATTTCCTTGTATCGCTAGGACGCTTTGACGCAACAAGGCACTTACCTTCATGTATGGCAAATCTTCATTGTTTCTCCCATAATACTTTTATTTAAAATCGATTGATTTCTTTTTGTTTCTTTGTTTACGAGATGCGCCAGAATCCCGATGTGAATTTCATCATCATCATCATCATCATCATTATCATCATCATCATCATTATTATTATTATTATTATTATTTTACTATTATTATTACTTTACTATTATTATTACCTTACTATTATTTATTTTTTATTTTTCATTTCATTTCATTTTTTTTTTTTTTTTTTTGTCAGTGCGAGATCGTGGCGTACAAAAGGCGGGGTGATGGCTGGCTTTTCGGTTGATTCGAACGCCTTATCGCAAAGAAATTTCCACGGATGGAAAGTTTCGTTGTTGCTTTTTTTTTTTATTGTCAGGGGTGGCTTAATGCATGCCGAACAATTCCCTCCACTTGATCGAAAAAAGGAAAGTGAAATTTGTGAGATAAATGCGATATGTGAAAAGAAGAGGTTTTATTGTGTGTGCGTGTGTACAGTGCGTATGCAGCAAATCGGTACATGAATGCAATCTTTGAAAAAAGAGGGGGAGGGATCCAAACCCGTTTAAGGTCTTTTGGACGGGTGGAACTTTTGATTAACAATAATATAATCATTATCATCATTATTATTGTTATTCGCCGATATGTTTATCGCCGTGAAATAAATCCTTCAGAAAGAATCCAAATTTATACATTGTAGGAATGCACCGTATCTTACATGTTTTGAGATGCGGGTAAAATTTCCAAATGTGATTCGGTCATTGCCATCCAACTTTTTTTTTTTTCAAAATGAAGGGCACACAATCGGCATGGAAAAACTCCACGTGAAAATGTGGCCCATGCAGTCAGACATGTGAACGAGGAGGAGGAGGGGTCAGTTATGATGCACTCCGTGATATGGTGGATGCTGTTTAAACCTCCCAGGCATTCACCGCCGAATATCAAGTTATTCATTCAACCTTCACAGATGCAAGTTCAGTTAACTTTTCGGGAATGCTGTTGGAATGCGCAATCGACAAGTCACCTTGATAGAATATTCTTTTCGACGTGCACGTGGGATCACTAGCATTGTCATTGTCAAGCATTCGAGATAAATCTTCTCACTCATTGGACCCCCGAAAAATTCCAGATCAACGCACCGACCAATTCAACAAACTGCATCCGTTGCATTTGCGATCCTATTCTATTTTATTCTATTTTTGCTTTTATTTATTTATTTATTTATTTTATTTTATCATTTTATCATTTTATTATTATTATTTTTTTTTTATTCTTTTATTTTAAACTGAAACCCCAACACAAGAAGACTCCTTTTACACGTGAAATTTGAATGACTACGGGTTCGTAAAAAATTAAGCTACGTGCTTTTCATGACGAATCAACATGTTTGTTTTCTTTAGCTTGCTTCCATGGCACATGTGAATTGCGCAATATTACGTATACTATGAACGCGTCATTTAAGGTTTCAATCACGTGTGCATCGGATTCCGTAGTTTTGTCATTAGGGTCGGCGCTGGCGAGCGTAGTATATTCGGTAATGAGACCGCAGCATAGCCCGCAGATCCTGGAGGAAAAAATATTAGCGCGTGCGTGGGTGCTTAGCGTTACTTGTCCGCACATTCCGTATCGGGCTAGCGACATTGCATTGTTATTTGTCTAGTAATGATGCAACCAATTTCGGCATAAATTTTCTCATTTTTCTCATTTCTTCCGTTATTAATCTGCCATACACACTTTCGTCCAGTACAATCGTCAATCGTCTCTCTATCATATGTGAAATTCGCGGAAACCGAGTGACACATGCAATTTATGCGAGCGAGTTTCCTCCAAGTGCACACAACAGTCACGCACATGCCTGACATGACATGAACTTGTGTTTTGGGGGGACTCTGTGATCACAAGCATCACACCAAGAGTTTCAGCCTAAGTCGTTTCGCGCCAAATCCATGTACACATGTAGATTGGTGATCGCGAGTAAACATGAAACAACGAGCGTATCGCGTACTCACTCACTCAGGTTCGATTGCTCCGAGTTTACATTTATTCTTAATGAACCGTTGTTGGTCTGTAAATCTCTATCAAGACTGTTTTTAGACGAATGGACGGACAAACTTGAATTCAATTCGTCAATGACATTCTTCATTAATCAGCATATTGTTTTTCGGTCCATCCAATTGTCTTCCTTTTCCTTCTCCACGCTCAATGGTGTTGCCGACTCCCACCGGCCATTCGAATTAAGAAGTTGGTGTGAGGAAGGGGGAAGGAGAAGGCATTAAAATGAAAATGATGGAAACAAGAATGAAGAAACAAAAAAGGAAATGAAGGGAAAAAAAAAGAAAGAAGGAAGGAAGGTGAGACCGAGAACGGGCATATGTTATATTAAAAGACATCAATGGGAGTTACCGTAAATGCTTTTTTGTTTGTTCGTAGACAAATCAATTTGCCAATGCAGATCGTACTACTCTGGATTATGTACGGTCATATGCCAGTATTTTTTTTTTTTTTTTGCATGCAAGGAATTCGATTTCGCTTTAAAGTTTTTAATTGCACTTTAATGAATCTTTGTTGATCAGTATCGTGCCACGGGCTCGAGTGAAAGAAAAATGAGTTTTTCGGATTTAATATCTTTGTACCTACGCAAATAAAGAACCTATCGGACAAGGAACCTTACAAAGAAGTTCCCTTAAATATCATCACCAAAACAATTCCTATTCGTTGCGCACTTC